GAAATCCACCCCTTTTTACAATAAGAGGAGACTCCTTGACGCTCTAGGTGGAACCACTCGGAAAGGTTTTGGGTGTTGAATCCGAAGGTTTTGCCGGCAACAACAGCGGTAATGGAAGGGTCTTGCTTATGGTATCTTAATGAGGAATAAAATTGATGAACAAGTTCCGGGTAAACGGGGGCGTGGAGTTGAAGAAAGAAACTCCATCCTTGTTCATGAATGAGTTCAAGAACGGCAACGGGTATGTCATCTTATTTAAGAGTTCTCCCCTCGATGATATGTGAGTCGACGTAAGCCTTGAACCCTTCTTGAGCATCGACATGAACATCGAAGACAATTTCGATCATTTTGAGAGAAAATTGAGAATAGAAGGATTTTGGGAGAAAAAGTGAGAAATTGATACAAAATACCCGAATTGAAGAGAGTATGTGAAGAAATTTAACCTAATGTTTGAAGAAATTGAGGAATTTGGATGAGGAATTAACCTTGGTTCGAAACACGGGAGAGAGATGCCGAGAGGAATCGCCGGAAGTTGCAGAGCGAAACTGAGAAAATTGGTTCGATTTAGGGTTTTTAATGTAGGTTGACCCGCAGAGACGGTCGGTACCTCGGTACCGTGTGAACGGTACCTTGGTACCGTGTATACGGTATGCCTTACCGTGTCCAGCTACCGTGTAACGTTAAAAACCCAATTCCCTCTGGCGGTATCTGCGTCCAAACGGCATCCTTGTACCGTAGTAACGGTAGGCTCTACCGTGTGGGCGGTACTGGGTCCCGTCAGGGGTACCGTGCCTCATCCTTAAGGGTTTGTGTCGACCTCTAGACGCGTGTTTTGAGCATTTGGACTTGATCAATATATTTTTATAATGTAATGGGATAATCAGAATCTTAAATTTTACTTTAATTCAAGCATTCCCATTTCCCGACAAATATGTAAAAATTGTTTTTCATCCAATGGTTTTGTAAAAATGTCAGCACGTTGTTCAAGTGTATTTACATATTCAATTTGAATATCTCCCTTTGAAACATGATCACGTATGAAATGATGTCTTATTTCTATATGTTTAGTTCTAGAATGCAAAACGGGATTTTTGGAACTATTTATTGCACTTGAATTGTCACAAAAATAGGCACTTTTGAAAATTTTAATTAAAGTCACCTAGTGTTTGCATCATCCATAAAATTTGAGCAACACAACTACCCATAGCCACATATTCCGCTTCAGCGGTGGATAGGGCGACGGAGTGTTGTTTCTTAGATGACCAAGACACTATTTCATGACCTATGAATTGACATGTGCCACTTGTGCTTTTCCGATCAATACGACACCCTCCAAAATCGGCATCACTAAAACCTATCAAGCTTAAATTCGTATTCTTAGGATACCATAAACCCATATTAGTCGTTCCCTTGACATAACGAATTATTCGCTTGACGGCATTTAGATGTGATTCTTTAGGTGATGATTGGAAACGTGCACAAAGGCAAACGGAAAACATTATATCGGGTCTAGATGCAGTTAAATA